GGCCAGCGGCCCCCCCGTGTTCCGCACGGGCGGGAGCCACACGCCAGCAGCCCCGCAGCTGGGTGAGGGATGCCAGTGAGGAGGCGATGTGCCGCTTCCCTCCCGCTGGCTTCAGGGCCTGGGTTGGCCAAGGGCTGGTGGGGTCGTAGGGCCTGGGCATCCGCGGCTGGGGTGAGTTTCACCCCGAAGAAAGCCAGGCCACCGGCTCCACCACCGAGCCACCGTGCGGTGAGCGCAGGCAGCTGGGAGAGGGGTTTCATCACCGTGCCCTTGTTCTGAACCAGGGTGGTAAGGAGGGAGCGCTCCTGCAGCAGCACAGCCCCAAAGCTTACAAACCCCCCCCTGTGAAAACACCCCGTGAGATTCAGCTACGCAAAACCTACCGCTGCACGGAGGGGAAATAACCGCGCGGTACCTGCCACGCCGGCGGGAACAGCCAGCGCAGCAACGGGACTGCCACACGCTGGCGAAGCAGTGGGCAGAGCCTGCCCCTGGCCTCAGCCATGACTCCAGCTCCAGGAACAGCCTGGGGCTCCCCCTGTGCTGCAGCGCTTTGCCCCCTTGCTCGCCCTGCCACAGCTCCTCCCACGGGGCTGTGGAATGATCTGTTCTAAAAATGCCCCCGAAAAGGAGGGGGGACGGCCTGGCAGGACATTGCCGCCTTTCCTGGACACACGCTATGTGGAAGCTGGGTGTGAGGCTGGGGAAGTGATGCTGGCCAGGCACTGGTGCCAGTGCCAGTGCTTTGGACATAGAGGCCGGTGTGCCCGAGTGGTGCCAGCCCCGAGAGCTATCTAGGCCACAAACCACAGGAGGCCTTCGCCTGACTCTCAATACTCGGAATTTTTGAGGTGCAATGCCAGCGAAGGCTCCTGCAAGGCACTTTGTCACCGTGGGCTGCAGGGCGCCGTCGGGCGCTGCCCCAGAGCAAACCCTCGCTTCCCCAAGCAGGGCACGGGATTGGCTTGGAACGTCGGCACTGCTGCAGCCATGTACCGTCCCACCTTCCAAAGCAGGCAGAGCACGGCAAGAGGAGGCAGCACACAGCAGACACCTTTCAGAGGGCTCACACGCAGATGCACAAGAGGGATTATTCCCAAACCCACACTCATGCCCTGTCTTCCTTCCCCTGCAATTCCCCCAGCTCCTACCAGTGCTGAGCATAATGGATCTCGCAGTGTAGTTCGATACTGATCCTCCAAATCCTAAAGACTAAAACCCTTCGTGGCTGCTCTATTTATAACAGTGCCAGTATTGCCTCTGCCACCAGAATCCTGATTTCCGTCCAGCCCGATACCATTAAGATGCAGCGACGTTCCCCCAGCTCCAGTGCTCCAGATAGAAAGCAGCTGGCCTGCCAGGCTCTGCCTTCAAGCTTGGTTTGTTCCTTTAAAAAATGGCAAGGAGAGCCCGTTTGTTTCGCAGTAATGCACCCAGGAGATTTGTCCTCAGCCTCCTGCGACGCCGGGGTGGCTGCAAGGGGGAGCGGAGCGTGGGTGGGTGGAGGTCGGGGCGGCACATCCCATGCTGTGGGCACGGAGGCTGCGCTCTTTGAGAGCCCCTGGTTGGTTTGTGCTGCGGGAGATGGGCTCCAATGCTTCACTTCGGTGTCCGCGGGAATGTGGTCAGTCACCTGACAGGGCAGAGTGGGAAAGGAGGGACCAGGGCGCTGCGCTGAGGCCGCACCAGCTTATTTTGGAAACTTAATGAGCAAAGCAGACAGAGAGACTGCAGGGATGGCGCGGCGCCTCATGGAGCTCCTGGCCACCGCACTGGTGGGGCTGGCCCCTCTTCAGTCCCCATCCCGCTGAGATGCCTGCGAACGGTCTCAGTTCTTGCTTTTGGAGCTATGCCTGACACCCACCGGTGTGAATCTCAGTGTGCGAGTCGCCCCGGCAGCCATGCTTCCCTGGGGACGGGCAGACACGCGCACCAGATGGAGGCAAACAAAGCTGGAGCATGAATCCAGAGGGAACATGGATGGGCTCCAGGCTTGACTGGATGACTCCGGAGCGTGGCTGTCTGCAGGACACTCCCCAAAGCCTCCCCCTCACCGTCCCCCTTCCGCCACTGCACGGGGAGCGCTGTGCACTTGCACCATCATGAAATAACTTCAAAACAGTGACGATGACTTGGATGACCGGATGGAGCAACAGCCCTGTGTCCGGCGGGGCTTTCCCACGCTGTGCAGCCAGAAAAGCCTTAGGGTCTGCCGAAGATCTTCCTTTTGCCGCTGGTTTTAGACAGAAATAGAGTAGGAAGAAGTGGCCACGCGTGAGCCTTTGGTTTGACAGCCTGGTGGCTCTACTGAGTTCTTCATCCTCTGCTGAAGCTGTATATTGAGCTGGGAGAACTGAGGTCTAAGCATCTCCTCGTTCACCTCTGCAGCAGTAAGAGCACGAGCTGAGGCCATTCATGTCCACTGAAGTGACAGCTCTTACTGCCACAGCCAGTGCTGATCCCCCCCTCTGAGCAGCAGCATCCCTGGGACGCATGCAGCCGGGTGTTCCTGCTGCGCAGGGAAGGTGTGTGGTTCAGTCTGAGCACTTCGCTGTGGACAGATGGCCTCCTGCCTTCTGTGCTTGGGCTTTCCAGCCTGTGTCTGAAACGTCGAGACACAAAACTGCTGGAGAGCAGCTGAACACAGAGCCCTGAAGTGACCTCCAGGCACAAAGCGGCTCAAGTGACACCGGGGCAGCAGCCGGGGCCTCGGGGATGTGGGTTGCTGCTATTCTTCTCTGCTTCTCCAAAAATTAGACGTGCTCTCAAAGGTGCATGGGGATGCGCTGGAGTGGGGCGGTCCCTCCGGGAACTTGGTTGCTCCTCTGCTCCCGTCTCTTAGCTTCCCAGGATTAGCTGCTTCCCAGGATTTTTGGGTCGCAGGGCTGATGCTGCCGGGCTGGAGCTGAGATAAAGCAGTGTCTGGTGTGGCCTGCAGCGATGGCTTCGGCTGCCTGCCCAGCCAGCCCGCAGAGAAGCCACCACAGAGGGGTGGTGGAGACAGCAGGGCACGCGCAGCAAAGCAACCTCATGGCGGGCTTCTGCGGGGGGGCTGCATTCATTGTCAGCATTTGCCCCCATCAGGGACCTGCTTAACCTCCCTGATGCTCCTTGCAATAGCGGAGAGCTCCTCGGTGCTTCCCCTCTCACACACCATGCGGGGAGAAGGAAGAGCAGTGGGGCCGCAGGCAGGGCAGGGGGGAGCGGGGGGCTCGCAGCGGGCATTGCGCAGCTGCAGCATCTGCCATGCACCAGTCGCATCCCGACCCACTCCCGGCCAGGCAAAGGTGCAGAGCACGGGAACGCCCTTCTCTTTGGCCAAAGGCAGATCGGGAAAGAGGAAAAAGCACTCGAGAGAAGGACGGGTGAAGCAGACAGCCGGTCGCCACACTGGCGGCACAGCCTGCCTTTCTCTGCCAAATCCCCCGGGGAGCTCTGCAAACCTTTCTTGGCGCTTCAGCTGTGGGTTATAGGACAGATGGACACATCTTCTTCAGCGGCAGGGAGGGCTCCTAATGCCCTGCCAGGGCGTTTCTGTAGAGCTGGGCTGGGTCCTCCCTGGGGACGCAGGGAGGGAAGGGGACATTTTTGGCCTCAGCCCAGCAGGGCTGAAGCACAGCCTGCACCGGGCACGCTGCAGGCACGCTCAGCGGCATCCCGCGCACCCACAGCCTGCGCGAGTGGCAACACCCTCTGCCAGCGAGGTTCCCCTTTCCCCGGTGCTTTCAGAGCACGCATGGAATGTCTGTTCTCTGAAGTGGTCCCGCTCGCTGTCTCCATCACCTTCAGACTGGCTGTTGCTCAGTGTCAGCTGCTGGGCAGAGCAGGGACAGAGCGGCGGCGCTGGCGTCGGGCAGCGAAGCATCGAGACCCTTGGCGGGCAGGCAGGACGGAGGGAGGCAGGGGCAGGCGGCGGCAGGAGGGGTGGCACGGCACTGGCACGATGACAGGGATGAAGTCAGAGTGGCTGCAGAGCTGTGCTGGGAGGCAGGAGAGGGTGGCAGGGGAAGAGCAGCGCTTCCTCGCAGGCGCAGAGTTTCTGCTCATCAGCGGCATTGTTCTCTTTCATTTATCTTTACAGCTGGCTGCTCTCTGCTCCCCGCGCGGAGGTTGAGAACGGCGTTTACTGAGAGAAGCAGCCTTCCTGCCAGCCTGTGAGCGCAGGCGAGCCGCGCCGGCCACGGGAGACTCCTCGTGGCTCTTCCCGCTGCAGATACACACAAGCCCTGAGCAGCCCTGCTGGGGCAACCGTGGGGCTCGGGGAAAGGTTGAAATGGAGGATTCGGCAAATAAAACACCACAAACCCCAGAGCTCAGGCAGGATTGTCCCTCTGAGCACCTCAATGGGGCATTTCAGCTGGCCGAGTCCCTTCACGCTTGCCCCGTTGAGGGCTGAACATCCACTTTCTCACGGCGGGATGGTTTCAGCCCACTACGCCTCGCCGTCGGGAAGCACATGTTGCTGCTGTATTTACGTGTCCCACTTCCTTTGCAGCAGCCATTTGCACGCTGCAGGGCTACGCGGAGTGCACGCGCATCCTTGCCAGCAGACAGAAAATTTCCTGTGCCTGGAAGCATTTGTGCAGAGAGGCAATTTATTTCTCATGCGTCTTCCTGGCTAAAGCTGGTTACGGTGGCTTTTGCTCTGCTCTCGCTGCTGGGGGAGAGCTGCAGGTGGGGGAGAGGACAAAGCCAGGACAACAGAAAACTTATTTACATTGACAGACACAATAAGAGAATTACACTTACTCTAGGCAGGACAAGCCAGTTCATCATCTTGCCTTTTATCAGTGGCAGTGTGTCCACTAGAGCTCTTGTCCCCGGGCCGATAGCACGAGGGGGAAGATGCTCTGCCCTGCGGCTGGTGCCCTCCTGCCCTAGTGTTAAATATCAGCTATTGTAAAAGCTTCCTCGGATTTTCCAAGTACCATTTGTGATCTCAGGTGTTTTCCCGAAACCCACTCTGGAAGTGCCTGTGGCAAAAAGCACACAGGGAAGGCTGGGGAGCAAGAAGTCGCCGTGGAGGTGGGCAGGAGCTGGGTGTGTAGGTGTTATCCAGCCCCGACACTGTCCTGCGCACTGGGGCTGTGGAGAACCGACATGGGAGGCGATGCTGAGCGGGAGCTGAGGTGTCCTCAGTACCTTCATGCAGGAGTGAGGGATGCGAGGCAGAGCCGGTGCTGCAGTCCATCGGCACGGCCGGTCCCGTGTCATGGTCTGGCTTGCTGACATGGGGAACTGCTGGAAATGCTCCCGCTCTGCTGGGGCAAGACCTGTGTCCAGTGATGAAGATGACATCTTGGGGAACAGGCTCAGCGCTGTGTCAAAGGCCCCCGTACGCCAGCCCAGGGGCTGCCGCAGAGGAACACCGCCCGAGCTTGCAGCTCTCCAGCTCCGCTTGGTCCCAGCTTCCAGGAAAGCTGCTGGGTCTCTGCAGAACGCTGAGTTTCAGGCACGGCTGAGCCCAGCACCGAACACTGCCACCCCGATGGTTTTTCCCCTCCAGGTCCCTGCTCTGCCTGCAGCCAGGATGTGAAGTGAAGCCATCCTCTGGGATGGAAGAGGCTGCCGATGAGAGAGCCCTGCCAGAGCCCGGCCCTCCCAGAGCCCTCTCCCGCCACCCGTGTCCCCACCGCCCCCTCCTTCTCAGGGCACTGACCCCCGGCTCTGGGCCGGCGGCCGCCGTCCCCATGGACTGGCGACCCCGAAAGCACCAGCGCCTGGCACAGAGGACCAGCTCCTGACCCGTACCGACACAAGCCAGGAAAGGAGGAGGCTGAAAATAAAAAAAGCTTCAGAAAAGAATGACAGGAATTATTTCAGGGCTGGAACAACCTGCCTCACACTGAGCAAGTGAAGAAGCCAATCTGTTTAGTTTATCTAAGGGAAAGTTAAGAGGGAACTTAGACGCATCTATAAATACCTACATGTTGGGAACATTTCTGATTGCCACCGTCCTTTATCCTATCAAACAAAGGCAGCAAAATTTCCTGGGGCTGGGAGCTAAAGCGAGAGAAATCCAGGCTAACAGCAAAGTGCAGATTTTTTAATGGGAAGGATAAATAACCATCGGGCCAGCCAGGGTAGGGACACAGCAGATTCCCCATCGCATGAAGTCTGAAAATCAAAGCAAAGCAGCTGCTGCTAAAGGAGCCATTGCAACTCAGCCAGACATCCGGGGCTGGATGCCGGAGCCGCTACACTCCTCAGTCTGGGACAGTTAGGATATAAATCCCCTAAAATCTGATTCTTCCCGACTGATCCGGCTCTCGCCCCCTCGTGGGTTTTGCCCCGTAACTCCCCCATCTGCGGTCACAGTTCCTTCCCACTGGCAAAGAAAGACAGGCAGCCAAGCTCATCCTCCCGTAGTGTTCAGAAAACCACCATCCCGCCCTTCCAAAACCGGTAAAGATTTGGTGAACATTTGAAAACATAGACAGTAGCAAGAAGAAAAGGAGAAATTAAACATCAAGGGGAAAAAATGGGGTGTCACCCATTTTATTGCAGTCCAGAATAAGAAGGGAAACATTTAAAAAGGAGAGAAAAGCAGCAGAGCAATTTTTGTATTTAAAATATTTCGGAAGAAGACTTTGACTCAGCAAACAAGCATTATTTCAAACTATGCCAAGGAAAACAACATTTTCATATAGTTTTAAATCTGCGGTGAGCTCCATCCATCCCGGCCATTTCATCCATCCCGAAAGCGCATTTTGCCCTTCGCTCGTCCCTAAAGCTCCCCTCATATGTGTAGCCCAAGTGATGCGCTCGCCCCAGGAGGCAGCTGAGATTTACGATGCACATCCAAATAAATGCTGTTTCCAGGTAAATAAGACAGCAGAGAAAAGCTCCTGGTACGCTGAGGAATGGACCTGCCATTTAAGAGCTCAGAGAAAAAAAAAAAAAAAGGGAAATCTGCAACGTGGGAGTGTGCCAGTGCTGGGGGGCGAGAGGGACGGGGCTGGGAGGATTTCCAGCTCCACGCAGCCTCTTCATTTCTGCGCCATATCCACCTGCCCTCCCAGCCCTGAGGGCTGACACGGGGCCACGGTAAATGCTAACGCAAGGGGATGATTTCGGTGTCATCCAGCCTGACTGCGAGATTTCCTAGCCTGAGCATCACCAGAATAGCCACGAGGAAACCCGGCCAGCCCCAGGCAGGGAGGAAAACACCTGCCCGACACAGTCCCCGCGGCGCTACGGGCACACGGCCCCGGTGCTGCCCCCTCAGTGCCAGCCACCGGCCGGGCTGCCAGGGTGGGACGCAGCGTGGGGCGCACGGAGGCTCACCTGGGGCAGGGCGCTGTGAGAGCTGAGCACCAGGCTGCAGACGCTGGCCGGTGCCTCTGTCCTCCGTGCCGTCACCCTCACCAGCCGTGGTGGCGTCCCCGACGCTCTGTCCCCAGCTCCCGCGGGAAGCATCTGCTCGCCATCCCGGGACGGATCCTGAAACGAGACAGGGGGTACATGCGGGTAGGGCAGGCCAGCTGCCTCCAAACCCCCCCCCAACGCTTCTGGAAGGGCCAAAATGAGCTTTCCCGCATGCAGGGGGCTCATACAGCCTTTGGTGAGCATCCCACTGCCCATGACAGCCCGCCCCGTGGGCAGCGGGGTCACTGCGGGGGACAGTGGAGGCTGGCAGGCAGGGGACTTCGAGACTGTCCCACCCCATTTCATGTTTCAGCAATGCAAGATGCCTCAAACACATTTTTTGCAGAAAGGAGAAGGGATTTGGCGGCGTCAATGGGCTTGGGCTGTGTTCGGTGCAGCCCAAGACCGGCTGCTTTGCTCGTCCCCCCAGAGCACAGGGCACTGCGGGGGGAGCAGGAACGCCCCTCATGCTGGCTCCACCAGCCCTCAGCTGCTTCCCTGCTTGCTTCCACATTGATTTTTAAATGTCCTTATTGACTGTCACATCTCCTCAGGGCCCCACAGACTGGCCTGGCTGCAGAGACTGGTGGCCGTTGCCCGCAGAGCTCACTGACGGGTGGATCAAGGCTACAGGAGACGCAAAAAACCAAAGTGGGATCCCACTGCCTATGGTATGACATTGCTAAAAAAATTGTTCACAAATACAGACTAGATATGCAGGTTTGCCTTTAAATAGAGGGACGGTCAACGTGAAGGGGGTCAAGAATAAACAGGATTAAAATGGTTCCTGAGTCAGAGGGGGACAGATATCTCCTGTTGTGGGCAGTTTTGTCCCCCCTGTTCCTGATTATCAAACTCCTTCGAATTGTGTTCCTCCCTAGGTGACATTATTCAGCTCCATCATCCCCGTGCACCACTCAAACTTGGTGTCCCCACAGGTATATGATGGGAAGCCAGTTCAGTCCGTGAGGCAGAAATACGGTGTTTATCCAATAGGATTATTTCACTGAAAGGAGGAACCCCCAAATTTTTGCATTTCTGCACAAACGTTCCTGTATCCCCAGTTCAGGGGGATCTCAGAGCATCCCTCGGGCAGGGACAAGGCAGTGAGGGGGGGACGGGAAAAGCACCCTGCAAAGGCACAAGGCAATATTATTATATGCCTCTGAGATAACTGAGACCCTACCGCTCAATTTCTGCCTCCCCACCTGGTGCCGGATCTTTTAAAAGGCTGTTGAAAATTAAAGAGAATGCAAATAAGAGAGACAGAAGTTATCTGAGAGCTGGGAGAAAAAAAAAATTCTGAAAAGGGAAACTTAAAAGACTCAACCTACTTCACTTATCAAAAGCAGCCCGCGAGGTGGCTGGATCAGAGAGCCCAAACGTCTCCGTGGGAGACAGCGTCTGACGGGAGCAACTAATCCAGCTGCAACAGCAGAGCAGGAATCAGAGCTGATGCTGAAGCTATTTGCATTAGGAGTAATTCAATTAACACTTGTGAACCAGAGAAGTTGCCTCATTAATGAGACAAGCTAGGACAGAGGAGGTGTGGAGACACTCTGGGTGCACTGGCGGGGCCGCGGTGGCCAGCAGCTTCCCGTGCCCCCTTGCTGCCCACTCGGTACAGGAATGTGCATAGTCTGGCTCCGCAGCATCGTGCCGGAGCGGCTCTTACCTCGGGGAGGTTTTGGGGCTCTCCGGGTGTGACCGCAGTGCCCGGCTCGCTGGCACCATGCTGCTGCCTGGCTCTGCCGCGACACGCGTCTGGGCTGGGTGGCTGCAGGGGTGCGGAGCGCAGTGTGAAATCATAGAATTCATGGATATCTGTAAAAACAGCATGAGAAACATCCACAGGACCGGGAAGGCAGCCCAATGCCAGCGTCCTGCGTGGGGTGCAGCACCTCTGCACACCCACTCTGTCCCCATCATAAGTCTGAGCCCTCTGTGAGAGGCTTGCCCCATGGTGCGGGGCTGGGACAGGGCTCTGCTGGCTCCCCACCCTTGCCGCGCTGCCCACCGTGCCCCCCCCCTGCAAGGCAAGAGGCGCGATGGGGCACCTGGCTCAGCATGCAGTGCCCCATGGCTGCGGAAGCCACAGGCATTTCCACGGCGCAATCACCACACGCTTCACGGGGACTGAGAGCAAACCGTCCTCAGCATCATCCAACACAAACCCAGCCCATCCTGCTCTTCTCCAGGCTGTGCCAGCCCCACGCGTGGTCCCATGTCCCTTCTGCTTCCAGAAGCCTCCTGCGCCAGGCAGCCTGATGCCGCCAGGCTCTTCCCTCCTCATTGCTGCTCCCCACAGCCCCTGGCCTGCGGAGGGACCCCCGGTCCCACAGGGACAGGCAGAAAGGGCACAGGGCACTAGGACAGCAGGCGCGCGGCGTGCAAAAGCTGATGGCTACAGCCATGTTATCTCCAGCTCCTTCCCCGAGAAATTCCCACCTGGCACGACACTACCTGCGCGCTGCCACGAGCAAGTGCCAGGTATTCTCACTCCGGGCTCCACCGACCTGAGTCTGCTGCTGTAAGTCCCAGTGGCTCCGGAGAGAGGCGTGAGGACGGGGTGTCCCCGCCCTGCCCTCGCTGCTCCAGAGACAGTTACAGGGTGACAGCGGGACCTGAGGGCAGCTGCTGCTCGGGTGTAGCTCCGCAGGGGTTGTGGGAGCCCAGACCCTCTCCTACCCCTGTGAGGGGCATCCTACCCTCTCCCGGTCACAGGCGGAGGATTGCAGGGAGCAGCAGGGCTGCAGTGCGCTTTGCTCCTCCACTGCTGCGCACTCAGGCGGCTGCCGACCCCCCGCAGCCCCCAGCCCATCTCCACGGCCAGCTTGGGCACTGACCTCCAGACCCAGCACCTCTACGGCAGCAATGAAAGCCCATATACCCATTGCAGAAGTGTTTCATTTCAGAAAGGGAACCACATCAAAAGCGAGAAGCTTTTTTACAAAGAAACCAAAAGGGGTAACAAAGAGGGTAAAAAGTTTGTGGGAGGCACGGAGGCTATTTGAAGAGACCCCACTGGGACATCAGAGCAAATGCCACAGTACCTGGCCGGAGGATGCTGGAAGGGCAAGAGGGAGGGAGGCAAGGCTGGACCACAGGGATATTAAAAGCCAGAATACATTCATCTAAACAGCTGAAGCTGTGTCCAAACGAGAAAACCAGAAAGGATGGTAAATGCTGCCAGGTTAAAGGTAAAACTCCAAAAGGTCGGCCAAGAGAGTTCAGTAAACGCCTTGCAAAAGGCATAAAAAAAGTAACAAATCCCTTCAAGCACCTGGGAAACAGGAAGCCTGGCGGAGCCGGCGGGGCCAAAAAGTCACGGCAGTATAAATAAGCACTCGGAGCGGGGAAAGCCGCAGCAGGAACCGGAGTTCATTTTCTGTCCCCGCGTCCACTGCGGCAGAGGCTGGAGAGCCCCTCTTCTGCCAGGAGCCCCGAGGGCAAGCGGTGGGTCTTGGCTCGAGGGGGCTGTGGCCGTTCCCCCGGCACTCCCTGCGAGCTCGGGGATGAAGCGGCTGTGTCGGCCCTTCAGTGTGCCATTTCTTACCTGAAACTATGCCACACTGAGGCACCATGGGGTATTAAATGCCCACTTTCTAAAGATTTCCAAAGGAAATCTGGTGAGTGCTCGGCAGCATAAGCAGGGAGGTGCTGAGCACTGCCCGGGGCTGTTTCCCGGAGAGGTTTTCACAGAGCAGGATTGCACCCCCAGACATTAGTTCCCATCCTCTCCCTGTGCTTAACCACAAGCCCACGCACTGCAGCAGCACATCCGTGTTGCAGATGGGACGGGGAGCAGCACCGACGCCCATCACCCAGCTCCCAGGGGCTGCCCGGTGACCTCCCAGCCCCAGGGAAAAAGCCGCTATAAATCTCGGCTGCCGGCAGAACGGCTTTGTGCCCCCGGGGAGCCCAGCCAGGCAGGGCAGCCGCCCCAGTCCAGGGAGCACCGTGCCGCTGCCCGGCATCGATGCTATCACTGCCAGGCTCTGTCCTGTGCCCTGGGAGAAAGGGACAAGGGGCAATGACGGGAGGAGTGGGAGTCCCCAGATCCAGCCACCGCACCCGGGGCATCCCCCTCCGCAGCCCCCCCTCTAGGTGCCAAGTGCGCTGCCGGCAGCCCCCTCAAGCACGGCGAGCAGTCATCACACAGCCAGACAAACGAGACTTTGTTTTCGTGCAAAAACATCTCTCCCTCTGGTTATAAAAATAGTCATTGCGCAACGGGATAGCAGGGGCTCCTGGCCACACGGATTATGCTTGGAACGCACAAAACTTCGCACAAACGAAAACAAGATTTGAACAGTCCCGTCGCAGCGGTGCACTGCTGCCGGTGTCCCAGTTTGTCACCCATCTGCTGCAGGAACACAGCCTGGGGCAGCCAAGCTGGCAAAGTGCCTGCGGAGCAGGAAGCTTGTCCTCTGAAGCTTCCACTCTCTCCACCTTCAAAACCCCCAGCCCATTGCGGACGCTTGCTGGGAGAGGGAATCGTTACTGGCACCAGGGGTTAGAGAGGTTTCACGACTGGGGGATGGGGTTCAGGCAGCGAAGGGCACAGATGTGACGGGGGTACATTTTAGGAGACATGTGCATGTGGCATTAAAGATAATTTAAATATACACTGGTTTCTTTCTTTTCTTATGGGCATCACAAGTTGCACCCAAGTCTGCCTCACCCACGCACTCTTTTTCTACCTGAAAAGCCTCAGGAAGAGGACGTTGGGGTAGCAAAAGATGCTGCTGCATGTTCTGCCTTACAGCTGAATTTCTGTTTGATGACAGTGTAAATCCCCTCTGGATCTAATAAGGAAGAGTAACTCAAGATTTACAGAGATTAGAAATTGCCTAACAATTTCCTCCTGGGGTCAATATGTCAAATAAGTGTCATTAAATATTTCTATAGCACCAGCATCCCAGGGCTAATGCAGTGCCCTTGTGCCAGCCGGCACGCGCACTTCCAGAAAATGACATTTCTTCCCTGAGATGTGCACTGTCATCAGCTGCGTCACTGCAGATTTACCCCGAGCAGAAACCCCAGCCCCGCTGCCGTAGGGAGGACTCACACCTATGGCCGCCACAGCAGAGCTTTCCAGCAAGCTATGAGTCTCCATCCTTGGCTATAGGGTAATTTATAAAATGAGGAGTCATCAGGGCTGGGAATCCTCCGGATTCCTCCTCTTTTCCACCCTGGCTCCTGTAGCCACCCGGTGAAGCCGAAGCCGCCATCCCCAGCTGGCGAGCCCAGTTCCTGACTGGAGTTTTGCACCAAGGGAAGTGCCGCGGGTGGGCGACAGCCTGCCTCTCCTCCTGCCTCTGCGGCAGCCGGGGTATCCCGGGGGCA